AAACTGCATCATTAGTTAAAACAAGTTTTTTCTGTCATTATTAATAAACAAGAAATATCTGGTATAAAAAATCTGATTATTTTATTATCTAACCAGATACTATGTAGAAGACCTATCCAACCCGGATATCTGGCCAGTTTGAAATTGTATGAAATTGTTTAAAATTTTTACTTTACCTCGGAAGCTAGACTTTTAGAAAGATTTTGTTGTTTATCTACCGATTCCAGTATAAGAGTACCTCTATAAACCTCTATATTTGGGCTGATTCTTCAAATAATGATCTTTAGATGATTGGGTTGATTCTTCAAATGATGATCTTTAGATGGTGCATTTGCTCTAGCTGAAAAGCTTGAGTATCTGTCATATCATCTTAATATTGATCATTGCTAGTGAGTTATCATCTCTTTTTCCACACAAAACACAACCATGAGTGGCTTTCTATTCCATAAAGTTGCTGTTTTTAAACTAAATTCTCATTCATCTAGTTTCTAACATGTTTTCTACTATCTCAATGTTTCTATCATCTCCGAGTTTCTACAATTTCCATGTTTTTACCATCTTCATGTTTTTGTTATCTCCATATTTTTACCGTCTCCATGTTTTTACCGTCTCCATGTTTTTACCGTCTCCATGTTTCTACCATCTCCATATTTTCCATACTCATTTACAGCTTTTTAATTATTCTGAAAAATTCTAAAAAATACTTTTAAAAAAAGTTTTTATGTCATGCAAGAACAAAAAAATATTTTTTAGCAAATATGGTAACTTGCATAATATATAAAAAAACTATACCTAATATTTTTGTCATTATTTAATAAAAATCTGCCCAATATATTTACAGCAAGAACCTTAAGGAGAAAAAAAGTAATATAATAGTAATATATATATATATATATATATATATATATATATATATATATATATATATATATATATATATATATATATATATATATATATATATATATATATATATATTTACAGCAAGAACCTTAGATTAAAGTAATATAATAGAAAACTTGGTTAATTAATATAATAAAACCTGGCAACTTAATGAGAAAATAATTTTAAACAGCTATGATTAAAAATTTAACAACAAAAACTTTTAAATAATTAAAAACAAAAATATTGAAATAAATATAAGCTAAAAATTATAAACATACCCTCAGACCACTTTCAGATTTAATGTCCATAATTGTTAATACAGTTTCATAAAGTACTGCGTTACCAACATTTTTCGTTGTTTCTGTGTTTGTGGCAACCTAAAATCATCATTGTCATTATCACCATGAACATTATGATCCAGTTTTTAATCTATTATATTGATAAATTTAATTGCTTGTTACACAGGAACTAACATTGTTTAATATTGTGCTATATACTTATCATAATATTAATATAGTTATTGTTAATGTAATATATTTGACTTAAGCCAAATTTATTCAAGATTTATTAAGATATTATTAACAAAAAAAGGAGCAAAGTGTATAGCAACACTAAATTATAATAATCCTAATTTTTTTTTTAATATCTTATTATATTTTTCAAACAAAAAAATATATAAATTGTTTCTATAGAAAGTTCTAGAAATAAATTAAATGTTTAAAATAGCAGTTTATGTGGTTAATTTGTAACTTTAAAACCTTTAAAGTTATATATTTTGATGTTGGGAAATTATAAATTTTTGGTTTAGATTGAAAGCAGGGTTATTAGGGATAAAATATTCTCAAAACTCCAGTATTCAAAGTTTTAAAATCATTATTTGTAGTTCAGCTTCCAGGAGGTATAAGATCAAAAAAATGCTACTTACTAATATGACTCTTGTATATTTTGTTATATATCTTTTTTATATCTTGTATATATTGGGGTTAGGGGCCGCAAAATAGTCAAGAGGATCATTTGGTATTTGTTTTAGTCATTTTTACGCTATGGCACATAAAATAGGCAACCAAAATAATGTGTCCCTCGACCCTGGAAAGTCCAACAAGATTCAACCAATAAAACTAACGCTATATCATTTATTTATGAATAAAAAAGTTTTTTTAATAACTATTTTATGCTTCGCGTAGTTTGAAAAGTTTAACACATTTGAAACAATTCTTCTTAGTAAGATGAACAAATTAATTAAATCATGAAGTTACTGTAGAAATTCGATTAGCTAGATATTAACTAAAAACTTTAAATTACTTTGTGAGGAGGAAGCGGAACTGCTTCATAATACCGCTGATTATGTTTATTGAGTGAGCTTTATAATTTTAATTAGTATTTAAAACAGAAAAAAGTAATTTTAAGTTTAAGTATAACGAGTTTGTAAGGATGGCTGAAGCAAAAATAATTGAAGTTAGTAAACCAATTTCTAAGAACTTAAAAACTTTTCTTTCTTGGGGGAAAGAATCAGTTATTGGTACACTGAGGAAAATGGATTAGTGTTGGATGATTTTTATACTTGGATGATTATTAATATTTTCATTGAAAATGCAGCTAATATTGAAAATATTTTTGTTTACAAAATCAATTGCACAAATTGCTTTAAAAGAATACATTTGAATAAAATACACATACATAAAATTACATGCATAAAAAATACATACATAAAATACATTACATACATAAAAATACGTTACATACATAAAAAATACCTTTTATATAAAAAATAAGAATATACTAATAAAATCTATAATATGTTTACAAAACATTGACAAGTTAAGAAATATAAATTTAAAACATTTATTTTTGTAAACAAATTATGTTAGTTTAAAACATTTACAGCTTTGTAGATGTGGCTCCGAGAATTAAAGTAATAGTGCGTTTGATAGTGCGTTTGATATTTGATATTCCTTAAACAGTTTATGCTAGAAATCTCAACGAAAACATAACAAAAATCAAATAGAATTTTTTAAAATATTTTAACAGAATAATCTAGAATATTCGGTTAGTATTTTTGGAATACTCTAGAAATTTCGGTTAGTATTTTTGAACCAATAGAATTAGTTGTTTGTAGATTTGGCGGGTTTTTTGTGTTCGCGAATATATATTTTTTATTTTTCCGCACAAAGATGTTTGAGAACATTTGAGTTTATGTATGTTTCAATGTATGTCCGTAAAATAAAATATTTAAAATTTACAATAAAATAATAAACTTAATTATTATTTTGCGGTCAAACAAGGAAACATACATAAACTTGAGTGACTAAAAAATCTGGCCGGTTTTTCGCAACTAAATATTATTTCCGTGGTCAGTTATAGTGTGATCGCACCCGCTTCCCAACCAAGCCTGTATTGCTGTATATATTGTATAATATAATATGCTATAAGTGTCTATATTGCTGTATATATTTATAGCATTTATTTATCACATTGTTTATACTTTTTGTTTGAAAATTATTGTTTTCAAGTTTATTTTAAATCATTTTGTCTTAAAACTATAATAAAAAATGAATTAATAATATTTATATCTTTAGTTTTTTATAATAATATTTAAAATTTATTGAGGAAAATAAACAATCAAAAAGGTATACAATAGGTATATCATATTTGTATCTGCAAATATAAAAGATTGTAAAGCATAAAATTGCTAAAACACTTGGCTATACACTTTCACAAAAAATATTAGTTAAGAATAGCTGGAAAAAAAATTTTTTTTTTCCAGATTAGCTGCATTTCAATATCTGATGAATAAATAAGCTTAAAATACGGACTATGCTGTCATACAATTTCAGAATGGAAAGAAAAGCTTTTATGTTATTGAAAATATATACTGTAAATTAATATAATTAAATTTATATAATAATAATTATAACTTTAATTGATACATTTTTATTATGTTAACTCTTTAGCTTCTTATTGTAAAAATGTTTTATATCTGTAGATATCAATTCTTCAGAAAAAAAGGCAAAATATGATTAATATAAAAAAACTCATTGAGGAAATTGGTTGTAGGCAACAACTATGTTGAGCTGAAGAACTCTATGTTTTAAATATGTCAAACTTATTTACAACATTAGTTAAGTAAATTATATGGTGTTTTTATAACAAGATGTCAAAATAAGTGTATATTCAATATTTGTTAATATTTATTTCAACTGTAAACTTTAATTAACAAACTTTTGTAATTAAGCAATGTTAGTATAAAAACTTTAATAATTTAAAAATTTAATATGAATATTAATTATTATGATTTTACTCTTAATAAAATAACATGTGACATTAGGATGAACTTTTTAATGAAATAAGCATTACGTTAGATCAGGGTTTCTTAACCTGTGGTCCATGGACCCCTCAGGGGTCCACAGCATACATTTAGGGGGTCCATGTAGCAGGCACAGATTTAGAAAAAATATGGGGTGGAATTTTAATTTTAATTTTTTTTTCATTTTTCATTTGTTTAAACGCCACTTTCAATCATTTTAATTCAAAGTTATCCAATCAAAATTCAAATTGCATAAATTTTAAAATAAAATTGCATAACTTTACATGCAAAGAATATGCTGCAAAGATTTCTAGTTAAGAAGTTTTAATATTTTTAAAAATACTAAAAATTGAAGAAGGCAAGGCACAACAAATCGTTTTTAGTAGTATAAACAATATAGCAAGACATATGTGCCAAGACTTCACTGCCAAACAACACTTTTAAGTGTCATTATTGTTTTTTTATCACAAAAACAAAGATGAATATTGTTTTACATGAAAATTTTCATTGCCTTATAACATATTAATTTATAATATAGCTTTCATTATTTATTTCATTGGTTTTTCAGTAATTGAGGTGTACTTTTGTAAAAAAAATATTTTTTTCTTTTTTACAGATTGCCTACCGTTTCACTTTTGTAACTGAACACAAAAACCACAGTGCTTTTAATGTGATAAAATGTTTGCTAATGGCAGTATGAAGTTGTCAAAATTGTCAGAACTTTACCCAAACTAGGTTTGGGTAAAATTCTGGCTTTACCTAAACCTAGTTTGAACTAAACTAAAAATGGTTTATTTTACTAAATCATGTTTAGAAGCATTGTTTAAAGTTGCATATCGCATTGCCCAACAAAAAAAGCCACAAACTATTGCATAAACTCTTCTTAAGATTTGTTTACTAGACATAGTAGAACTCATGTGTGGTAGAGATCAAAGAAAGAAAGTTGAAGTGGTGTCTTTGTAAATTGTCATCCCTTCTAGAATTGTTGAAATGTTTTCCAATGTTTTGCAACAGGTCATTAATGAACTTAACTTTTTGCCATTTCCATTCAGCATGCAACTGGATGAGAGCACAGATGTATCACAGTGTAGCCAGCTCATGGTGTTTGTACGTTATGTTAATATAGAAACACAAAGTATGAAAGAAGAGTTTTTGTTTTGCGAATCACTTTTGGGAACAACAAAAGCAAAGGATGTTTTTAGTATGATAAATTTTTTTTTTTGCAAAACATGGCGTTGATTGGATAAATAAGCTTGGCAGTTTGTGTACAGATGGACCACCTGCAATGCTTGGAAACACTTCTAGTTTTGCAGCATTGGTCAAGAAAGAGATTCCTAACGTCACGATAACTCATTGCTTCTTACACTAACATGCATTGGCATCACGAACTTTGCCTACTTTCTTGAAAGGAGTTATGGCCTTGTGTATCAAAATAATTAAGTTCATAAGAGCCAGAGCTTTGAACCACCTGCTGTTTAAGCAACTTTGTCAAAAAATGGGATCTGATCACCAAGTACTGCTGTATTATACAGAAGTTTGCTAGTTATCAAGAGGACAAGTTTTGAAGCGCTTATTTGAGTTACGCATAGAAGTTTTGGTATTTCTGAAGAATCAAGAAAGTGCATTGTATCAAATTCTGGAGAATGAAAATTTTTTGCAAGGACTAGCTTACTTGGCCAATATTTTTATTTATTTGAATGAAATAAACCTGTCTCTTCTGGCCCCTGCTGTCACAATCTTAGATGCAACTGAAAAACGATAAATTTGCGATAATTTTTAATTGATACTAATAAATAAAGGTGTTTGTTATGATGCTTTTTTTTTTCTTTCTTAATACATTTACAATAAGACTTGGAAGGGGTCTGTAAGATTGCTAAAATTTTGAAAGCAGTTCGTGACTACGCAAAAAAAGCTTAAGAACCACTGCATTAGATATTTAACACAACTTTTTAAACAATAATATTTATGATTTTAAAATAACTTTTTAAATTGTATTTACCAAAAGAACTTAATTAAACCAATGAAAATTGATGTTGTAATCATAAGTGGTCTAATGATGTTTTACTAGCTGTCTAAATGTTTGTTTTTTTTTTATCAACTCTTATGGCTATGGTTTAAGGTATAATTTGATTACAACATTTTAAAACATTTTACTCCAATATTTACATTTATACATGTAAATATTGGATATACATTTATTTTGACATCTTGTTAATAAAAAACCCAACAATTTACTCATTATTTTATTCATCTAAGAAGTTTATAAAGTTTTTAATAAGTTTGCAATTATAAATATCATAAAAATCAGTGTAGTAAATAAGTGTATATAAACTTTTAAAACTGATAAATTAATATATATCTAACCTGAGCTAACAGATCATTCATACTCTCGCTTGCATCAGAATCCTTGTGCCCTAGTATTCGTAATAATCGCAAGATATGCACCTGCATAGAATAATTTAACAAACAACTTTTAGTAATATTTCTTGTATATATATATATATATATATATATATATATATATATATATATAAAGTGTATACATATATATATATAAAAAGTGTATATATATATATATAAAAAGTGTATATATATATATATATATATATATATATATATATATATATATATATATATATATATATATATATATATATATATATATATATATATAAAGTGTATATATAGCAAAAATTCGCCGACCTGTTTTCTATGTTTTATGGTAAAACCTTTGTTTTTCCTAATTCTGAGAACTGATATATATATATATATATATATATATATATATATATATATATATATATATATATATATATATATCTGTTTTAAAACTAACCTTGTATATACTTGTTTGAAACTGTTTTAAAAATAACCTTGTATATACTTTTAAAATAAAAATAACAATTATTTTAATTAATTTAGAGAACTTATTATTTAAATTGTCATTAGAAATGCAAAAGGGAAAACCATTAACCTATTGATGCCAAATGTTAACTACAAAAGTGGATTAAAAAAAAATAATCAAAGAACCAGTACTATATTTGTTAAGATACAAAGTAGCATTAAAAAAAAAAAGAAGATGTTTTTAGTGGATATCTTGATAAATAAATTGTTTTAGAAAGTTTAAATATCAGCCTGTTTTTTAGTGTTTATTTAAAATATGAACACAATTTGCTTTGGCACATAGGGATCCCTTTTTATCAACAATTTATATCTATACAATCTATATATAGCGATTTATCAATTGTAACAAATTATCAGCAAAATGGTAAGTTTAAAAGAACTCCTTAGGCAAGATATATCTTATATTTTTTTTTTTAATTAGGTTATGAGCATTTATTACACATAGTATTATATACAATATATATATATATATATATATATATATATATATATATATATATATATATATATATATATATATATATATTTATATATATATATATATTATTTTACTAAATAATATTGAACTAAAATTAATATTAAAATAATAATTGAAAACATAACAAACTTTTCATATTAAAATAAAATGTAAGTTATGTGATCTTCATCAAAATAAAATATTATCCAAAACCAATGGTAAGGGCAGCTGCCCTATGGTTTATAAATGACACAAGTCATGTTAAAATATTTTAACATGTTACTATATTTTATTTAACTTGGTATATAAATAAAAATAAAAATATAGTTCAATAAAAAAATTAAATTTTTTCTTATCAAAGATTACCTTATATTTATTCTTTTTTTATTTTATTATTTCAAGTTAAATTGCTTAAAAACAAAAAAAAAGAGTTTTGTAATTATACGTAGAATGAAAATACTTTTGAGTTTATTTATAAGTTAAGCAACTTAATTTTTAATGAAAAAATTTTAACGAACGTTTGTTATAAACAGATACGATTCAAATTATTAAATATACTTATATTATTTTAGTTGAGTATTTTTTTAAGTTTGCACAATTAAAGTTTTGCGTAAAAGTATTTTTTTTTTTTTGTTTTAAGAATAATTAACAAAAGAGTTTGAATAATTAGGACTTTTAATTTTTTTTAATTCCTAAAAATCAAAAAAAAAAAAAAGATTTAATTGTTAAAAAAGATTTTTCTCTACTAAATATAATAATTTCCATCAAATTAACAATATTATCATGCAAAATTAATTATTTAATTAATTAGTTAATAAGTTTCCCTAATTAATCGATACTAGAGTATGAGTAAACACAGCAACTCTCATTAATAACATTATTACAACTAATTTTTTCAATAACAATATACAAAAAGGTATATTGAAAGTGGATATATATCTGATCATTTCCCAACATTTCTATTATTCAACTCAAATTCTAAAATATGTCTTAGTACTGTTTTTTTGTGATTCGTTTAAAATGTAAAACATTTTTACGATAATGTAAAAAATTTATAAATTAAATTCCTGGCGAATGTGTTCTTAAACTACGTATCAAAAATATGCTCAAAGCAGACATGAAACTTTTTTATATTTTTATATAATGCAAGTTAAAACGCTAAGCAACATAAATTTAAAAAATATTAAAAAACCTAAATTATTCTTTGCTAGTCAAAACAAAATCACTGTTTATATAATTAACAAGGGTTTTTGTTAATCAATGTTAATATTTTTTGTTTACTACAAAAAATTTTAAAAATAAACAAAATCATCATTATTTTTTATTTAATAACGATTTATAAACAATAATCATTCAAAAACAAATTTAATAGAAATAATATATATATATATATATATATATATATATATATATATATATATATATATATATATATATATATATATATATATATTATTTTACTAAATAATATTGAACTAATATTAATATTAAAATAATAATTGAAAACATAACAAACTTTTCATAATAAATTTATATTTAAAACGTTCAAAGTTATTTGAGTTAATTGTTAAATTGAACTAGTTAGCGGTTATTTATTTATTGCGGTAGTTAAAACACTTAACATCTATAAAAAAAAAATAAAGATAATTTTATGACGTTAAGTATCGCGTTATGCTAATGCATTAAGCACTTTATTTATATAATATTATATTATAGTAAAAATATTTCTAAATATATAAAACTAATAAATAAAAAATGACTTCAATAACCTGAAGAAATGGATCACTTATTCCGTTGACATCATGTTCTGGGGAATAACCAGACTGTGTCAGTGATTTTAACAAACGAACTAAGTTAGGAACAAACTAAAGTGAAAAAATTAACTAAAATATGTAATATAGTAGAAAATATAAGAACTTTTTTATTAATCAAAAAACCAACGTACCCTTCTAAAATGCGTAGTAACATCTGGGTTTAGAACACACATTTCTGATATTAATACAATTGATGTCAACTGAACACCTAATTCATAAAAAAAAGATAGATTAGAAAAAACACAATTACACAACACATTTTTTTATTTTTTGGAAGTATCAAAAACATAATGCCATTTACCTGGAGGATATAAAAATGATATAATAAAATTACATTTAAAAAAAATACATACGTATAAGCAATGAGAATAAAAACAAAAAAAGTGTGTTTTGTCATATTTTTTAGAAAATTACAACTATGATTGTAAACTCTTTTAACAATTGTTCTTTTAATTTCCTTTAATCTAATATTAACTGAATATTAAGTCTAATATTAACTGAATACTGATTATATCCTGGTCTCAATGAATTGATCATGTTTAAAAACTCTTGATTTTCATAAGTTTTAAATGATACAGAATTTGCACAGAATTTTTTTTTTTGCTATCTAAGTATCAATATTTTGTTTCTGTTCCACATTAGTTGAGATTGTGTATGACATTAACCACTGCTTCTTACAAGGTGTGGTCAAACCTATGGAACTAACAGATGATGAAAAACTTGTTCCAACTTGAGATAATGGTCCAGCTATCAGAGCAGATGTACTAATTATTTAAATTATTTGGAAATATGTTATCACTATTTTTATTTAAATATTTTGGAAGATTAAAATTGTCAATTTCTGTATGCTTGTGCAAAAATTCTAATTTCTTTTGACAATGTTTTAAACTTTGCTCTTACTTTTTTCTTATCTTGTTGCTAAGCAAAGCACGACAATAGTCACAAAAAACTATGTATTGTTTTCAACTTCAGTTACTACTTTCACAAAATTAAATTTAAATAAAATAGGTTTAAAAAAAAATATTATTTTCATAAAATATAGTTTAAATAAAGTTAAAGAAGAAAACTATAACTATATTTATTTGTACTATAAACAAAAAAATTTTTAACAGATATAAAAAACAAAAAACAACCCAAAAAACCCCAATATTATCCTCAAAAAAAATAACACTGGGTCAGTTTTTTTTTTAAAAAAATCCAAGCTTTATCGAACCCTGCAAAAGAGTATGTAAAAGCTGAGTAAAAAATTAAAATAACTTTAAAAATAACTTAACAAATTTTTTTTAAGTTTTATTATAGTTTAACTGTTGTTTGTTGTTTAGCCTATTTTTATATTAAATTTATATAATAAGAATTTTATAAGTTTTAAAGAAAATTGACATTCTAGTTATTACTTATTTGTTTCAATTTAGAACTTGGCTAACTTCTTAACTTAGAATAATTTTATAAATAAAAATTATTACCATGGTTATTGTCACTTATGAGAGATCTGGTAATTGGAATGTACATTTCCATCAGCTCAGGAACTTTTCTAATGATGCGTACAGCGCATAAGCAAGCCTAAAATCAAAACTTTTTATTACTTGTTTTTTAAAAATATACTGATTTAAATAAATTTTTTAACTAACCTTCTTTTTTATATAGCAATTTCCTGTCTTCAGTAATTTCTCCACTTCTCCGGCTAAATCCCTACTCATTTCTTGTGAACATATACTAAAAAAAAGAAAACATTTATTAGATTAATATTTAAATTAAATAAAAAATGAATCAAAAATTTATACCAACTTTGACATAGACAATAAAAATTTAATTTACAATTTTAAACAATAAAAAGTTTTACAAAAAGTTACTTAACACCTGAAAATTGTACTTAGTAATTGCTTTTAACTTTTTTTTTTTGCTTTAATGTTATCACCATTTTCAGCCCTCGTAATTACGATTGACATTCAGCAATGCCAACTTAACTGCTGACCTTACAGTGTCTGAGGTTGGCAAAAAATAATAGACCTTAGTATTTTAAAACTTAATTTTATTTGATGTTTTAAATTAATTAAAAATGGTCAAACAAACACTTCATTTAAATTTTAAATAAAATAATTAAAATAACAAAACTAACATTTTATTCAAACTCTAAATAAAGTTATTAATTTTATTTTTTTAATTATAAATCTTTATTTAAAATTGAATAGCATTACAAGTAATGAATTGTACAATTTTATCCATCATTAAATACTAAAATAGGTTGCCAACACTGCAGGCAAACATAATTAATGTATTGAAATGGCAGTGGAACTCCCAATGTTTTGTAGGAGGTAGAGGTTGCTAACACCATCACGAAGTAAACAGAAGTATTTTTGAATAAAAAGATTGTTGATGGGTGCTAGTCATATGGGAATATGTTTTGGTTTCTGCTGTTAATGTGAGCTAATTTTGTGGTTATAGGAGTCAGCAAGGGTCTTTTTAAGGGTATTAATACAAACCTTGTTTAGTAACACTTTAATAGCAAAACTAATATTGAAGCTGCTCAAATTGGTTACATCAATTCCAATGTTTTCAATTCAAATAATGTTTAGAGCATTTTTAAGGAAATGCTGCATCTCCTTTTTTGCAGCAGGACAGCACAAAGTAAGAACAGGAGCACTATATATCAAATGACTAATAGTGCAAGATCTATAGACTTACAGAATGTTGAGCTGAGTGTGTCCGATTTGCTTAAGGCATTTAAGTAGATATGGTACTGATTTTATGTTGTGCACTTTTGTCCATTGTTAAATCTCAATCAAGATTCTCATTGAGCATGATTCCATAGTATTTATGGCTGTTCACTTTTTCAAGCTCAGTATTGTTGAGTACGAGAGAAGGTATAATTTGAATTTTGGAGCACCTAGGATTAATTCTAATGATTTTACATTTTTAAGAGCTTTTAAGTTTCATTCCATTGACAACAGACCATAGTGCAACACCATCTACAATGGATTGAGGTAATTTGTTAGGATGTTGCCAGCATATTTTTGGAGAATGGTTTTAGATGGGAGATAGGTGTTAATGTCAGAAATAAAGAGGATGAACAAAATTGGACCAAGAACACTACCTTGAAGTACTTCGGCTTCAATATCTTTCCAGTCAGTGGTAAAATCATTTGTTTTATTTCCTTGGTGAGGTTAAAAAAATAAGCTGCAATCCAGAAAGTGAGCCAGCTAGGTAGAATATTTATTAACTTAGCATTAATTTAACAATTTATTATTAAGCAATTAATTTAATTATTAGTATTTTGTCATGACTGACAAGATCAAATGCTTTTGCAAAATCAAAGAACATTACAAAAATTGATTTATTATTACCTTTAACATAACTTTAGTCCTCTATAATTTGAATAATAGCATCCATCGTGCAACCCCCTGGAAGGAAAAAAAACTATTTGTTTGAAACATATGTGATAGATGTGATGGATAATGAAACTGGTAATAATGCATTCAAAAACTTTGCATAATGTGGATGTAATAGCAATCGAACGGTAGTCATTAGATGAGAGCGGATTAGATATTTTAAGAACTGGTATTATGTTTGCTGATTTCCATCGGTCAGGTAGGTAACTGTTTTCTATGAGGCAGTTAATATAAAAATGAAAAAACGAATGTTTTATTTAACTTTTAAATAAAATAATTAAGATAAAAACAGAAAAACAAACTTTTTACTTAAATTGAACTTAATTAATTTAATGAACTATTATAACAAAGACAATAAAAGCATTCTTTATTAGCTTATTACAGTTAAGCATTTTGAGATTTGTGAACCAATTTTTGGTCAAGGTCTACATTAAAGCATGGTTTTCATGCAGCATATATATGTAACTATAAATAACATGATTAAAAACTACAACAACACAACAAGATGCAAAACATCTCACCATTCAAGCTAACTATTAAAGTACTAGTCAAACATTTTCACTCTCATTTAAAAATAGCCATTTCTTTGGCAAAACAATTGAAGCAGTCAATTTTCAAGTGGAACCTAAAACATTTCTCATGAAACAATTGTTTCTTAGTTTGTAATAAAATCTTAATCTCAATATAAAAATCTAAAAGAACAACAGTGTGAAGAAACAAGTTGTACAACCAGGGACTTGGTTACCATACTTTAACTTTCAAAGCAACAATTTTACCATTGCAACAAGAAAAAACACATTTATCAATATTTACAAACTTGACATTAAGTTCATCAAATGTTGTAACTATTTAAAAAAAAAACTCTATATATGAATTGGAGAGTAATACACTAAAACAGATTTTCAAAATATTGTAATTCCAGAAAAATTTATATATAAATTATATGTTAAATTTTTTTTGAAATATTCCTGTTTTTAAGTCCTTTTCCCCCTAAAAAGTACATATGCTTTTGAAATATCTCCCACCCCTTTTTTTTTAATAATTAAATAAGTTTTTTTATTTAATAATTAAATAAGAAATATTTTTTAAATTACAGCATGCGCCTTTCAAAGTTAATCATACTCACCCATCCATTACTTAATTGAACATTTTTTGCATGTAAAAAATGTTTATTTTAATAAAGTAAACTTATACGCTGATTTGTAAGTCAGTATAGCCAAGAGTTAATGCAAGCAATTCCATATCTTTTTATTTTTGAAAATTAGTTTTAATGATGAATCAGATAAAAATAAATTTACTTTGGGCAGACGTTTTATTCAGGCACCCCATTTATTATAAGTCCATAAAAAACTAGTTTTACGCAAAATGAGTAATATTGAAAACAAAGCCTGAAACTGAAAGCCAGGGTTAGGCTATCCCACACCCCCAATTGGAGGAGGCCTAGCAAATTTAGGAGTCCTTTAGCAAATTTAAACAGCTTTTTTAAGCAATACCATTCAGTCTTCTCCATTTAGCCAACCCTTTCGCACTCAAGTCTTTTTGCGCTTGCCCACATGCCCGCAAAAACTTTGGCAAGCGCATGAAAAAGCGCTTGCCAAAAAATTACAAGCATTTTGTTTTAAATTGCAACAAAAAATATTTTGGTTGATTTGTTCAGCTTTTATGAAAAAAAATTTTTAATTCTTTTATCTAGTATTTATTCAAAGCATTTTTTTTGCTATTTTTATTTAAATTTTAACAGCAGAAAATAGATTTTAGATAGGGACAACCCATAAGTACAGACGATTAGAATTAATGCCAACCCAAAAAGAAATAATTTTTTCATTGTTGATCACAGATAATTTTTGATAATATTTAGTCTACCAAAACTTCTCTCATCATGAGCAGATGTAAAAGGAAGAGTCAAATCAATTTTGTAGAGTAAAGACAAGTTAGGCAAATATGATGTCATTTATTTCTCTATTATATAGTTCTCTATTTTTAGTTCAGTTGTCATTGATGCATACACAACTTTGAAAGTAGGGCTGGCGCTAGTAGATTTCAAGTGGAGAGAGGGTACCATATGGGTTTTTACCAAAAACATTTTTAACAAATAAAAAACTAAATTGCTCCACAACCTTGAAATCAGTTTATTTATAATTTTTTGTTTTTCTCCTTTGAAAAAATATTTTTTTAATCGTTTGCAAAGTCATTGTAGTTTTATGAACACTTCTCTCTGTACAGTCATAGTAGTTTTAATACACGGAACTATGTTAAAAAGGCATTGACTGTGTACATTATAACTATGAGAAATATTTTCTTAAAAAAAAACGTTTTAGTTTTGTTTTCTGCCATAAATGCTTGCGAATTTGTAAGGCAGGTATGTAAATGATGGTTTGTTTGCTACCTGGTATTTTATTTCAGTCAGAAATAAAAGCAGAATTGTGTAATGAGAAACTTATATTTTAGAGGGCGCCAGTTGACCGGCTTAGAAAGCCTGGGAAGCGGGACTGAGAACTAGAAAAAAAATTATTTGAATGTAAAACTCCCTCATTTGATATATATCTATGTGCAAATAAATAAAGATATGAATGTCAACATTTAAAAAAGATAATTTGTCATGCCTTGGATATTACTTAAAATAATAAACTTAATATTACTTTTTAAATTATTCAAATTTTACCTTCCTAGTACAAACTTTCCAAGAAAAATTTTACCTTCCAAGAGTACAAAGAGCCAGACCTTGTACATAATGAGAAGAGTGATTCAAATCGCTAGTAAAAAAAATAATTAATTTTCAAGTGCATACTGCAAAATTTAATTATGTTTACAAAAAAAACTTTAAGTTTTCTTTCTTACTTTTTTAAACAATTCGTAATAAGAAGATGAACATCTTGCTTTTCATCTAGAAGCATCATGGCTCCTAAATAACCCATTCGCTTGTCATTAAACTTTTGTGATGAAATTAATTTTAAACATTCCAGCTGAAAGAAAAGTAAATATATATATATATATATATATATATATATATATATATATATATATATATATATATCAGGGTGTTACCCAGCCTGATGGCACCGCATATGTGGTATTCCCAATTGGCTTAAAATTCCCAAAGGTTTATAAGATCATAGGAAAAAAAAAAAATTAAGTCAATCTCAGATTTAAAGTGTCGCATTAGACTAGTATGCATGACGAAAAAATGAATTAAATTGATCGATTTTTTGTTTATGTGTAAAAACGTGTCATCATTAACAATAGTCATTAACCTTAACAAGATCATTCATTCAAAAATTTAAAAAAAACTTTTTTTTTAATTTTTATTGATGCCCCTTATTCTCGAGTTCAGATTTTTATTTTTATTAAATACGTAACTAAGGCTTTTTGAAAAATGGCTGCAGTATATCAAAAACAAAGAAAAGAAGCAATTTAAATGAAAAGTATATATATATATATATATATATATATATATATATATATATATATATATATGTATATATATATTAGGCCTTCTCGTAAGAGGCGTGCGATCGCATGCCTCATATGACCACGCAAATAGTTTTTTGTTTTAACAACTTGACCACGGCTCATTGCAAGTTTTGATAATTAGCACATTTAAAAAATTGCGCTAAAAAAAAAAAAAAAAAAACAAATTAAAATAAACAATCCATAAACTGAAAAAAGAATAAAATCCTCAAAATTATATCCATAATAAAAATTAACCTAAAAAAATAAAATATTTAAAGAATGATAAAATAAATAAAGGAAAAACCAGAAAAAAATCAAAACATGTATTAATTAATTTAAACTTAATTGGAAGCAAAAGTTAAAAAATCACAGCTTTAATAATCTGTAATCATTTTGCCTTAAACTCTAATCTGAATATTTTTTTCAACGATTGCTTTTATTAAGTTGCATTAAAGTACTCAGGAAATTTTGTGGCAGTTTAATTGTGTATATGGAATCAATTAAATTAAAAATCGCATTTGTTTTCTTTTAGCACATTTTTTAAATGCGTTAATTATCAAAACTTGCAAAGAGCCGTGGTCAAGTTGTTAAAACAAAGAACTATATATATATGCCTCAGCAGGAATAAATGAGTACGAGAGCAGAGGAAAGCTCTTCTAAAATGAACTTGGGGAGCTGTGCAAGCTGCTCCTCATTTAAATCGGCGCTCTTTTTTAATTCTAATTTTTTTTGCAACAACCATGCCTTTTAAAAAGAATTTCAGTATATTATGCAATTATTTTTTTTTAAATGACATTTTATTTAAAATGATATTTATACTTTTATGAGAAAAATTATACTTTTGCGAGTCCCGTAAATAGCTTTCCTAAACCGTTTCAGGGGAAGCCGAGGCTTGTGTATATATATATATATATATATATATATATATATATATATATATATATATATATATATATATATATATATATATATATATATATATATATATATATATATATACATATATACATATTTATATATTATTTTTATCTTTTAATTTTTCTTTTGAAAAATAAAAAAAAAAGTTTCAGTTTTTAATGCAGTAGTATATAAATAATTTTAAGTTTATTTTAGCAACCTCATTTTTACTTCACGTCAATAAAATGAATTAAAAAGAAAATGTTACAACTTTTTTATATAACTACGTGACATAATTGGCCTTTGGTTACTAACTGTCGTAACTAGCGCACTAGCTTAATTTTTGAATGAATGAATTTTTGATCTTTAGCTTGCTATTTTAATTTATGTAAGGAAAACAAAAAAAAAACTGTTTTGTTTCTTTTCGATATATTTTTTGATTTTTAAAATAATAAAAATAAAGATTTCAATAACTTAATAAAAGTTTTATTAAAATCTGTTTAAAATAACTCATAGAAAATGAAATTTATTTATAAAACGTAATTTTTTTAAATTACAGTTAATGATTAAAAAAAAATATTTTAAAATATATGTTTTTTAAAATGTATACTTTTTAATCAAAAAACTATAACATTATTAAAATTATGTTTACCGTTAAAAAAATTAATAAAGTATTTATTAATTAATTTTTTTCGAATAATAAAAATTAATTTTTTTTGAATAATAAAAATAGAAATTGTTTTTAAATAGCAGCAACTAAAATTAAAATAAAAAAGATAAAGAATCAAATGTAGTAGTTGTAGGTCTTAAAAAGTCTAAAAATAAGAGTGATGACCTTGTAAATGTGTTCTTTGAAGTAATCAAAGTAAACCATGAAGAAGTCGTTCACGTTTGTCACTAGAAAAAAAACCAAACAATTGCCAGAATACAAACAAGAATAACCAAGACCCATTTGGTTTTTAAATTATACAAGTTGTATTTAAATCAACAGTCACACAGAAAGAAGCTCTAGCAAAAGGCAACTTCCACAAGGAGAAAATGTTCAGAAGAGTATACACTTCAGAAGATCAAACTGTATCAGAGCAAGAAGATTTTAACAAATTATATAATGAAAAGAAGCAAAAAATGAAGATCTTGTAAATGCTAACCTGAATGAGCCCTTTTGCTAGATCATCCACAGATGGACTAGATCTGCGCACTGCATTGACACAGCCCAATCTGTTTATAATAAGAGTAGATTGGATTAGCAAAGAGCAATTTGATCAAATTAAATCTGCAACAACCAGAGTAAATAATAACAATACTTGACTCTCTAAAGCAAAAAACATGAACACCTCTGACTCCACCACTATCACCACATTGAATAAGGCTGTTGCTGGCCGTCTAAAAGTTATAGCAGCCAAGCAAATGTCAACCAAATCCCTTGCCATTCAACAAAATTAACAAAAACCCACTAAAACAAGTAAACTTTTGGGCAAACAATTCTTGTTCGTTAAAGAAAGCCAAACAAGACAAACTAATGTCAAGATTGACAATGAGACAACTAAGATAAGACCACTTTTTTTCACTAAGACTTTGGATGAAACATTGTGTACCAACTCTGTAACAAAAACTGAGAAAGCAAATGTAAGGCAGAGGCTCAACTACATAAAAGACAATATTCCATGAAATAAAATTTTAAAAACACTGTTAAAATAAAATATTGTTATAATATTAAATTAATTTCAGTGGTTAACCAAAACTCACTGGCAAACTTGACAAAAGGTCTACTATTTTCATATTTCAAAAGCAATATTTTTTTTAAGCACTATGAAAATAATACATTTCTATATAATATTGCCTATATATTTTAATATCATTTTTAATATTCCCTAGACGCAATCCATATTTCTGTATATTATTGTCTAAATATTTTCTCAAGGCGCAATCTATTATAATTTTTTAACTAGTCTTGCAACAAGTTATTTAAGCAACTATTTCATAAATAAATAAAAAAACCAGGTTGGTAAGTAACAAAAGATAATTATTTTAAATGAACATTTTGGAAAATGCTTTTAGTATTTTCTTATTTTGAGTAACATTGAGTCTAGGTTTGCAATCATTATACGTTAACTATTATAATCATTAAAACAAGCATCAAATTTTTCTATTTATTGATAATGTATAAATAATGATGGAATTGTATATTTGTATTCATAGAACAATACAAAAAAATAGTTCTATTTGAAATAACTCTAAATATTTATTTCAAAAACGGCAAAAATTAGTTTCACAGTTAGTTGCTTTAATAATAAATCAAAATCATTGCGTAACGTTTTGTTTCATTCATTACAAACAGATCCTAAGTTAAAGGCTTGTTTTAAAGCATAAACTGGCGCTCCATTTACATACACACTTTTTATCATATTTTATTATTTAAACAAGTCTAAAGAAATCATTTAAGAGGTAAAATAAAAGAAGTAAATAACGTTATAAAAACCACTTATGAAGTTTAAATGACAATTACATAAAAAAGTTTGCATACCGTTATTTACAAATCTTACAAATAACTTCAAAAAAAACAAAGAGAACTTTATTTTTATTAACCTAAGTTTTGCGTCTAAAATGTTTAGTAAAAAATAAGATGTTATAGGGGTGTATAGAAAGAAATCTTAAAATAAACATCAAACAAAAATGAAAAAAGTTTGAAGTATAATATACTTTAAATGACATCTTATAAAGAGTTTATTTTTTTATAATTATAAAAAAAAAAATTCTTTTATAGATATAATTATATTATTAATTTTTTTTGCTTGAATTTACGCTTGAAGCAATATAGAAATTGCAATGTTTTCGTTTATATTTATAAGATTTATTTTGCAAAAAATAATATATAAAAAGTTTAGAAAAATAAAATTTTAAAATAGTAACACCAGCTTTATATAAATAACAGATTGTGCGATATCAAAAAAGTAAAAACAGAAATTTCCTTATAATTAAGAAAGAATTTTAATTAAAAAAGTTATTTAATTTAAGAAAATAGTTTTTTTTCTATTTTTTTCAAAAAAATTAAATTCCTTGTAAACAGGTTATTGTCGCTGCAAAAGAACACCTTTATTTTAAGTTCATTTTTGCTGTTCTGAGAAAAAGTTTTGAGAAAAAGACATTTAAAGTTTCAAATTTAATCACTGCTTTTAATTTTCAAGTCTTAAAGCAAGTGAAAGCGCAAGGGTATATATGTGACAAAAAAATGTATATATTTTTAAAAAAATGATACCTGGAAACTTTAATCTTTATCACAAAAAAATATGCTGGTAAAGTAATTAATTTGAGTTTTTTTCTTTGTAACAAGCAATATTTTTTGTTTTTCAATAGCTTTTTAAAAATAAAAAACCATTATTTGTGAAGCCACAATTTTAAGAAATAATGAAATTATTTCTTAAAAAAAAAATCTTGACATTTATAAAATTTAATTCATTTTATATAAACGTCAAAAAAAGAAAGAAATTATTTATGTTAAATAATAATAATAAAAGTAAATTCAATTATTTAAAATAAAAAAATTGAAACAAAATAGACATTACAAAACGTCTATATTTTAGGGTGTCCCAAAAAACAACATTTTTGAAAATATTCTGCTCCCACCCCCTAAATATGTTCTATCTAATACAAAAACACTAGGTTTAAATTTTTTTTTGAGTAAAAAATATTTTAAGGGGTCCCCTTAGACCCTCGAATATTTGATGGGTCCCTAATATTTTCAAAATAAAATTTTTCAAAAATGTCAACCTGGTACTCAAATGAAGCGAAATTGTATAAAAATTTCAAAAATAATACTCATTTCAAAAAAATGTTATTTTTGATTTTATTACATAAAAAATTGCTTTTTTTAACAAAAAATGAAAAAAAAAACATTTTTTTTTTTTTTTTTCAATGATAATTTTGATAAATAAGTTTAATTTTTTTTGAAATGAATGTTATTTTCGAAATTTTTATATAATTTTGATTCATTTGAGTACCAAGTTGATAAATTTTTAAAAAACTTTTTTTTTGAAAATATTAGGGATCCATTAAATATTAAATATTTACCCCTTAAATATTTTTTATTCAAAAAAAAATGTAAACCTAGTGTTTTTGTATTAAAAAACATCTAGGGGGTGGGAGCAAGTTTTTCTCAAAAAAGTTGTTTTAAGAGTCATCCTAGTATATTTACAAAAGTATATTTTGTTTTTCTTAATTAGTAAAATAAATTTGTTTTGCTGTAATTTATTTTATTGTGGTAGTTTATATAAGTTAATGTCCTTAAATAATAAAAAAAAAAATAAAGATAAATTAATGATGTCAAAATCACAAAGAGCTAATGAGCTAAGCTGCTTTTTTATTTAAAACAAAGCCTTTATATGTGCAGCTGCATGGACAACTGCAATTGGAAGGGACCAATTGCAGTTGTCCGTGCAATTGGTCCCTTCTTTTTTGCTATTCAAATGAAAGAACTTTTAACACACATTATATTGATTAATACTATTGCAACTCAAACTGAAAAATGGTGAAGAAGACAACAAAAGTTTTAAATGTGAAAACTGTGTAATAACTAGTATTAATGAGTGTATGGATAAGGAAAGCATATCTGATATTTTATCAGAAAAACCTTCATTTGATAAAAACAATGTTCTATCAACAACCTCAGATGACTTTTGATTTAAATGATGACATGGACATGGTACACTAAAACATTTAACAATGTTTTTTATATCTATTATTGATATACTATAAATACAATGAAGGTATACTGAAATATAATTCCCAGGCTTGGACATGAATGGGGTGCGATCAAGCGCTATTGCTGACCACGTAAATGTTTTTATTTTTTGACAACTTGACCACGATTGTTTATATGTTTTGATGATTTAAATATTTCAGAAATGTTCTGAATTTAGAAACGCTAAACTAGGAAAAAAGTTAAAAAAAAAATCCTGAAGAAAAAAAAAATTCCTAACAAAAAAAGAATCGGAAAACAAATTCATAACAAAAAAGAAATCATTAAGCACTAAAATAAAAATAAAAACGTTAAAATAGTTAATCGTATGAACATTACAAATTGCTTCAAAACTTTTTCATTAATCAACAAAATACATTCTTATATTAGTAAATAAAGTTATTTTATATTCTTGTATAATTCACATAAAATGTGTAAAAGCTAGTAGTCACAAAAGCTTTTGAACTTATTCATAAATTAAAGTAGCTTAAAACAAATTCTTTCTAAATATAATCATTTAAAAATGTTTTAGGAAGACATGGAAAAATAGTTTCAAACATTTAAATTTATCATAAAAAATACATTAAAAAACTTGTATATAACGTTTTTTATTAATTTACACATGCGTTTATGCAAACAACTATAATTAATTTTATGGTTTTATTTAAAGCCTTTGCGTAAAATAAAAATTTAGAAAAGATCAACGATTAAAAGATATTTATAGCGTAACACTTTTTTTATTGCATTTTGCATTCAAATTGTTAAAACATCAGCTGTGGTCAAGTTGTAAAGAAAAAAAAAATTAGCATGGTCAGTTACAGAGTGCGATCGCACCCCGTTCCTGTCCAAGCCTGAATTCCTAATATTTTATATTAGACAACACTACCCACCATGTAAGGGGTTGTCCATAAAATATACACGCTTTTATTTTGACCCCCTTCCCCTACAGTTTGCTATACACTTTTTTCTTAAATCTTTTTCATTGATTTTTGCATTAAGAAAATCAATGGGTGCATTTACAAAAAGGATTGGACATACAAATGTAATCCAAAGAATAAAAAGAAAAGTATAAGGTAGGGGCTAATAGGTGTAGTACAGACACAAACTACATAACAGTCTGCAGACTTTAAAGAAACAAGATATATTTTAACCTGATGCAACCATAAACAATGGATTGACATCATAATTGAAATCAACCTGGAAGATGATGTTGAAGTTAAATTCCTCCACCCAAAAAAATTCTACATATTTTATCTGGCATTTGAGAGATGATTATTCTTTGAAAATACAAACATATTTAAAAAAATCATCTGTTTCACAATAATTTACACTATTAATGTTTATTTTCATATTTTTGTTATGGTTTTACAAGAAACCACTTGCAACTTTTTTTTAATAAATAGGAATCACATAAAATATAAAATAAAAAGACAGATACATGCCTTAATGGACAGGGTAATATAATGCACAATTACTCATTAACAAATTTACTCTTGCATTGTAACTAACAATTCTTTGATCACCCTGCCAAATCATTACTTTCATTAACATTACAAATATAATTTTACACCACTAAAATTAATTTAAAAAATGTGAATACAAAACTGAAGTAAAAATCTTTAAACCAATGTACATATAAATAAAACTTTGAATTAATTTATATGAAACAAAAATATTTACACCGTTATATATTGTTTACTTAGATATATTAATTATTAAAGATTGCATAACTATCATTTTTATGATTATTATATTTATTTTTTATATTATATTTTTAATAAAAAAAATAGAGTTTATAAAATTATAAATAGAGTTTATAAAAATATAAGTAAATTAGATATTACGCTAAATTTCATTCAAATTTGTCTTATTTATATTAAAGTCAAATTTTCTTATAACTAATATTATATATAACTCAAAAAATATTATTTTTTGAGATATATATAATATTATTATTATAATTATTACCTATCAGAACTATATACCTATTTAAATAAGTAAATCTGTTATAATATAATATTCTGGAGTAAATCCGTTTTTTAAAAAACTTCAAACTATTAGTTTCATTGATCACATTAAAATGAACTTTCTTTTAAAACATGTCTCAATAATGAATTTTATTTTATTTTTAAAGGACTGATTTACTCCAGTTAATAAAGTGCATCAATACTTACATATATTATAATTATTGTTGATGATCATGATAATAATAATGTTGATGATGATTACTTTCATGACAATGATGATGATAAATAACTTTATCAATGCCAAATATTTCAAGAAGAAAATATAAAAAAACATACTTGACCAAAATGAGCAGGAAAACCTAGCATATGGATGTAAAGAAGCTTTGCAACATTTCTTGATCTTGCATCATTATCCTCTTCTCTAAAAGATGTTCTAATAAGAGCGCACTCTTTTGAAATAACATCTCTTTCATCTGCTGCTGTACGAGCAGCTCTTATTGAACGGATTAAATCTCTTAGTTTCACATTTGCTGGCATTTTATTAGGTACTCTAAAAATTGAGCAAAATTTAATTACTGCTATGAAATGTTAAAAAATGTCATATTTATCATGCTTTTATTAAAATGTTTATATATTTTGTAACATATTCTGGAATACTCATAGATTTTCTCTTTTAAAAATAATTTACTATCTAATTATAAAACTGTATTAAAATAATTAGCATATAAAAAATACTTTTGTTTTAAAACATGATGAAAATTTAAAACAAATATATATATATATATATATATATATATATATATATATATATATATATATATATATATATATATATATATATATATATATATATATAATATATATATAGGCTTTGCTTTTTAAAGTTAATAAATGTTTTAATCTTGTTTGAAAACAAAAATATTGTTTATTTTTATTTTAAATTTTCATCATCTTTTAAAACAAAAGTACTTTTTATATGCTAATCATTTTAATACAATTTTATAATTAAATAGTAAATTATTTTTGAAAGAGAAAATCTATGAGTATATTACAGAATATGTTACAAAATAAATAAACTTTTTAATGAAAGCATTATAAATATGACATTTTTTAACATTTCAAATATATTTCATATATTTTATATATATATATATATATATATATATATATATATATATATATATATATATATATATATATATATATATATATATATATATATATATATTTATATACATAGTTAGTCACATTTAGGAAAACAATAAGCTAAAAGCAAATTCATACAGAGAAATTTTTAAGTCACTAAACTAGTGACTAGTAACTTTTACATCAAAACCATCAAACAATATAACTTATTTTTTTAAATTTCAACTCTGTATTTTTATCTGATTGATCATCAATCATTACCTCATCAATTTGATGAGGTAATGAACATAATAAATTGTGGCTGTTTTTTTATAAATAATTAGTTTGTTAAATTTTGATTGATGCTTCTAGTAACGAATAAAATCTCAATCTAAAACATCACTATTACATATAGTTTACTTTGAATTTGATGTTGATTTATTTATTACATTTGACATTTAATGTACAATAATCATTTTAACTTCAGTATTTCTTATTCCTCAAGTTAACTTTTTTTTAAGCTAATTTATGTTCATTCCATATCATCATTCCACATGACTTTTTAAATATAGATTTTTGTATGAATTTCTTTTTAATATTTTTTCTTTATTTGCCTTACTTTTCATTCTGGATTTTTGTAATTATTTTTATAAAATCTCTTCAACTTTTATTGTAAATTTTTTTCAATTTTTCAACAATAATAATTTTAAAAAAATTTCCATAATACCAATGATTTATGACTTGTCATTGATTTACTAAATCAAGCAAAGAAGTAAATTTAATCGAACTAATTTTCATACATATAATAAGCATATTATATCGTGACATTTATACTTTCCTCTATATTTTTGTGACTATATTTTTGAATTAATTAACAAAATTTTATTAAATAACTTTTTTGCATATTGTACTTTTATTAGCGAATTTTTGTATTTTGTCATTTGTACTTTGTTAGCCATATTGAGCAAGGAACATTCAAGACGCAACGACGCTGCCGATCATAATCGTTCGTCGAGATCATGTCGTTTTCGCGATTAAAAAAGAAGTTTCCTGATTAAAAAAACGTTAATAGTTTAAGTGTATATAATAAACCCACAAAAACGACTGTGACGCAAATATTTAGATATATAAATTTTATTTACTTTGAGAAATGATGTAAAGCTGGGGAAGCAAAGAAATTTATTGAGCCTGGAAACAAAAATGCCTAAAAAATTTCACATTGCTCCCTCCCCAAATGTGAGGGCAAAAAGGTAATAGAATATTTAAAATCAATAGTAATATATATATATATATATGTATATATATATATATATATATATATATATATATATATATATATATATATATATATATATATATATATATATATACACATACAAGGCCTGCGCGATAGGGGTTTTTGGGGGTGTGACACTCCCCATCAATAATTTTTTCGTTCATTTAGTCGGCTAATTTGACCCTTTTTGACTAGTTAGTCGGCAAATGTAGACCCTTTAGACAAATTAGTCGGTAAATTTAGACAGTCAGTCGGCAAATGTCGTTATGGCAGTCGGCAAATTTTAAAAAACGAGGACCTTTTTTTTTCTTTTAGTCAGCAAAAGTTGTAATGGCACCCTCCCCCACGTGACACCTATATATATATATATATATATATATATATATATATATATATATATATATATATATATATATATATATATATATATATATATATATATATATATATATAGGTGTATATATATATATATATATATATATACACATATATATATGTATGTATATATATATATATATACATACATATATATATATATATATATATATATATATATATAAATGTATATATATATATATGTATATATATACATATATATATATATATATATATATATATATATATATATATATATATATATATATATATATATATATATATATATATACATATATATATATATATATATATAGGGCTGGCGCGAGTAGGTGTCACGTGGGGGGGGAGGGTGCCATTACAACTTTTGACTAATTTATATATATATATATATATATATATATATATATATATATATATATATATATATATATATATATATATATATATATAGCATAATGAAATCTGCTTAGAATTTCAATATTAATTATTTACATCATTATGGAATGTGATAAATTCAGCTGTAATAATTGTAACGTTTCTCATTTAAATGCTTCAATTTAATTGCTAAAACTATAAATTTGAGAAAATCTTTCTTTTGTTAAAGTAGTAATAACGCAAAAATAAATAACTTTTTTTAATGTTATAAACGTTAGTTTAAGTTAGGTACGGTAGTTTAAGTTAAGTACGGTAGTTGAAGTTAGGTACGGTATACATATACGATAAACTTGTAGAATTATTTGAATAATTAGTCTGATGTTTTATAAAATGTCAGATCCTAGAAAACACACCACATTTTAATAAACGATATTTCAATATTACATAGATCATGTGCTGCGTAGTTTAAAACTACGCAGTAGATAGTAAAATTAAACTTAATTAAATGTTAATTTGTTTGTTTGTAACTTCAATTTAGCGAACAAAGATATTTGTTTGTGGATGCAACTTACAAAACAAATATAGATAGTTTATAAAACAAATATAGATTGATCTATAGATAGATTAACCATTGTATATAGCAGTAATCTATAGATAGTTCTGTTTCATGGTTTTGCTTGGTGGTTAAAACTATCAAACGAATGATCAGTAAATTTTAGTCTGTGCTTAACTGTGCATAAACGTAGATAGATTTTTAGTACTGTATGTGGTTTTGATGGGCATTAACTAAAACTTGGAAATAGAAAGTTTTTATAAAAAAATATTATCTGAATGATAACGTGCTTTGTACCTCAAATAATTTAATAAAGTTACATTTAAGCAGTGATGTTGTCAGACGATTTCTACATTTAAGTTCGTTGAATATAGATAAATTACAGAGTCCAGACAACCGCATTTAAACTATTAGGCCTATTATCGTATATGGCCTATAGAAACCATATAGAGTTTTCATAGAATGTCTATTAATTTCTATAGAAATTGCTATAAAACTTTTTTTTCCTATAAAAAAAAAAGTAGAAAAAAAAAATTTCAATAGGATTTTTTCAGAAGTTAACAGAAACTCTATAGAAATTCTATAGAATTCTATAGAATTTCTATAGGCATATGTTACAAAAGTTTATAGAAAATTCTATAGAACTTTTTTTCCTAGGCAGCTTTTCATATAAAGAGGTGTTTATGTTGACAGAAATAAAGTTGTTAGATTAAGTTACCTGTAATAACAAGCTGTTTTTACATATAAATTTATTTTATATAAGGTGTGTCAGTGCTGTCAGCAGCAATCGGTCGAGGAATAGTACATCTAAATTTCTGTGCTTTTCTAAATATTCAATCTTTATGGGTCAAAATTTATTTAAATGTGATCAAAACAAAGTTTTTCGAATAATTTTGATACCTATAAAAATATTTGTTAATACCCAGCAGTGTCAAGGAAATAAAGGATATTTGGAGTGATTAGACACAATGTCTTTAATTATCAGAAAACTCTTAATTTTTATTTAAACTAGTTAAAACAATTACAAAAAGTTAAAAGCTGAGTAAGTTTTCATCTGCTGAATCTTCCTGATAAAACAATAGTTCTTTGTTGCCAATTATGGACTGGCATATGGTTCTTGGAATTATCATGAGACTATTTAATCGTTAATTATCCATTCTTAGTAAAAGCAAATCTTTGATAACTACCAACTGATAAAACAAATTTGGCATCAACAATGAGTGAGGGAGAATTAAATGGAAACCACTGTAGAAATTTTTAAACAATATTTAAATTGTTTCAAAATGCCACAATTGAGTTTTATAGAAACTTGAGGAATGGTTTCAAGTCCTATTATGCAGATATAGATAGTATTTTTTTTTTTTTGAAAGAGAGAATTTACAAAACCTAGATTTTTTGTGAGAGAGAGAGTATACAAAATAAAATTGGTCATAAACTCAGGTATATTTTTGATAACACCATTAACTAAAGTTTATGATGTCGTCAAATACATACCTGAATATATTGACAATCAGACAAAAAAGCAAGACATTACCCAGCAATAATTTTGATGGTTGTGCGACCCATTACCCCCCTACCTTTTCCTGTGATGTATAATTAAAATGTTTTGAGGGTTGTTTTTATTAGTTAGTTATTTGTTTTAATAAATGTTTGTAAAATTGTTTATGTTTAGAACGAGTTTTTTTAATAATATTTTCAAAGAATTTAGGTTATTTAATTTTGTAATTAGATATTAATTTGTTGAAGAGATAAAGGCCGCGAAATAAAATAGAGAAACGTAATAGCTTATATTATACATTAAAATTTCCTATTTATCGAGTGTCATATCTAATTCTATTGCTTCTTTGTTTTTTCAAGTTT